CCAAACCACAAAAACCACCATCAACTATATTTTTATGCCTTAAGCTCAGGAGTTTTTTTTTCACTGCCGGTCGGATTTGTCTTTAATCGCTTCCCTTGACAATGCCTGTAAACTGGCATTAAATTAAAATTTATTTATTTAACAAAGCTTTCGCATACACTTGAAGAAGGTCTAAGTCATGCTTAACTCTCTCCTTTGCAATTGTTGCCGTTGATTCGGGCACACCTTTTATAACTACATTTTCCTTGCGACTGAACCTAGTGCTCGTTGTTGAGTAAGATTCGTTAACTTTTCTACCTCCATTTTTAGACCTTTTAACTCCCCCTCCATTTGCGAAAATTTATGGATGAACCCGAAACATGTGGTACAGATTTCATCGTCGTATGTGACATATCCCAACGTCACTAGACTTTTTGCCCGTTTGACGGGCATTGGTCTGACAGCAGAACGTCAAAAACTGCAATCATCAATATCATGTGTAATGCACAATTTATCATATGTTTTGACAAGTCCGGCGCGAGTCACTGGCCCAGTGGTAACGGCGGTTCCCTGGCCGATCGACTGCCCGGGTTCGACTCCCGCCTAGGGCGGACATTTTACATCGTATTTTGAGGGCATTTCTCCGAATACCATTACTGAGTTTACAAGTTTCAAACGGTTTTCTTAACAGTATGAGACGCATTTTCAACCAGATCAAAGATACGAGGTAAACGACTCAGCCTTTCGAAGGTTTTGGGGATTTCTCAGTGCTGTTGCAGAGAGGTGACTGGACGAAGGTAGGTTATCCCGCACAAGTCCTGGTGTAGGTTTTCAAGGATGGATCTGTCTGAAAGACGAATCGGACTCTTATTACCCACGGGCCGTGACGACGTCTAGTAGATAGAAATCCCGATAAAAGTGAAATACACCGAGATCGAAAATTTCAAACCAAATTTGAAATCAAATTCTTTTACTATCCGACCTACGGCATTTGCGACAGAGTGAGACTTATTATTCCTCGGAACATTTTCGTAAAAACAGCTGTTTGTTGCGTAAATGTTTTTAAGATTTAACGTCGTTCATTTGTAGGGAGTTATAGAAAGCCAGATCACGTGCTACCGCCGTTTTGTAGAAGGTTCTAGAAAGCGCGCCCCTTAAGGGGCACACGCGCGCCGAACTTTTCCATATTTATACGCCAGGCAGTTAGTCGCAATTTGGTTTCTCATGAAAAGTATGAATATAATAAATTAATATAATTCTAAATTAAGCAAAATAGCCCTGTCCTAAGTTTGTTTAACTTCCCCCCTTGACCTACCCTTAGCCAATAAACAATGGGGGACTCAACCTTGACGCCTTCGGCCCTGGAGAAGCTATAAAAACGGGCGAGTATTAACCTTCAAGAACCCCATGGCCGGTCACCGCCCTTCGGACGGGGAACCGCTGTCGCTTTCTCTGCAGGATCCCACTGCTCTCAGTCGCCCCCGTGGACAGTCGCCCCAGATTCAGTTTATTTTTGTAATTAGGACTCCGCTCTTAGTTTCTGTGTTTACATAGGTCTTTCAATAAAATAGCGACTAGCTCGTCTTATCCTGTTGGGCCTCGTTGACTATATACTCACACTAGACGGGGACATTACACCTTCCTTTGTTTTTGTCATCCGCTGGTTTCATTGAGGAGGTCACGTAGTCACGCTTTGCTCTATTTACTGGTCGCGTGGAAAAATATACATTTTAGCCCTCGGCTAAGTGTTCTAGATTTGACCTTGATGGCAATATCTGCCGAATATATGTGGAAGTTTGGGCACCTATATCAGAGTCCGCTGGCCCTGGATACCACCCACAAGTTCTAAATTTGTTACATTTTCAGAGTTTTGCCAGAAACATCCGAAACTTTACGCGAAATTGATCTACTTACATGTGCCAAGCGCAGTCTAAGTTACAAGTAGGAGTCGTTGGCATATGCTAACCTACAGCGATGCCCCTTCCTGAGCTCCATAATTATCTCTAACAAAATTATCCTGAATTGAAACAAGGTCGATTTTGCAACCGAGGATCTAGATGCCATTAGCAATGAAAAGACAATGATTTCCAATTAATCGACGTGGCTCGTGCGTTTTGTAACGTCTAAGTAGTGAGCGTACCCAGGGCACCACAGTGATAACGGAACAGGTACGTTAATGAAGAAGAGGGTAGACACACCAGAAGAAATGTTGCATTCTGTATAGAAGCTCAGCAGTGGTAAAAGTTGGATCGGACAACAATGTCCAGGCTGAATCTTCGTTCTGAATTTTTCACGCAGAGGGTAGTGGAGAAATGGAACGATCTCCCTCAGTCAGTCGTGGAGGCTACGTCTCTGCAACTCTTCAAGAAACGCTTGGATGATTATTTGTGTCCCCTGTTTTCCCTCGACAGTCTCAATCTGAACTAAGACCCCACGTCCCCACAAATATTTTCTCTGAGACAATGCTACTCAAATGAATCAAGTACCGATTTAATAGCGAATATTTTTTGTCCGTGTACAGTTATTTCCAACGAGCTGACATAGACAGCATAAACGAGATCACCTCCATGCCGCCCCTTGGCCGAAGTGATCACGTAGTGCTTTTGTGGGATTATTCGTTATTCTCCATTTCACATACTGCAGACCACAAAAGACGGAATGTTTGGCGGGGCGACTTCAATCAGATGAGGGCAGACTTATCTGGTCTCGACTGGGGCTCACTGTTTACGGGAAATGCCAACGATGATTGGGAGCTGATCAAGAATGTCCTTCTGCAGCTCATCAACAATCACTGCCCACTGACTAGTGTAAGACTGAACAAACGCCCTGGGTGGCTAAATAGGAACCTTAAGAAAGAAATCAACAGGAAGCACAAATTGTGGAGAAAATACTGCGTCACTGGGCAAGTTGAATATTTCAACACCTACAAGACACAGAGGAACAAACTGAGGAACCTGATCATAAAGACGCGGCGGGAATTCGAGAAGAACTTGCTGCAGAAAGCAACGCAGAATCCAAAATTACTCTACAGTTACCTCCGACGAAGTACAAGGAACAGGCATCAAATTCCCTTAATAAGGACTTCTGATGGCGTTGAGATTGCTGATAGTAGAGATAAAGCTTCGTATTTTTCACAGTTTTTCCAATCAGTCTACACCAACGAGGCAAGGTTCCTTCCTCCCTCCACAGAAGAACTGCCGACTCCAAGCGTCAGTGATATACTCTTCTCAGAAGGCATTGTCCGAAGGCAATTAGAGGCATTGAACGAATCGAAGTCGCCAGGACCAGACGAGATTCCACCCAAGCTTCTCAAGGAGCTTGCCAGTGAGCTTTCTGTGCCTTTGTCGATGCTCTTTCAAACGTCATTTGATACTGGAACACTTCCTATCGATTGGGAGCCAGCGCATATTACTCCGCTACACAAAGGAGGTAACAGGGCAGCGGCGACAAATTAGAGGCCCATAAGCTTGACATGCATTCTCTGCAAAGTTATGGAAAGGATCATAAAGAGCGAACTGATGCAATTTCTGGAAGTCAACGGCCTGCTATCGAGATGCCAACATGGGTTCCGGAAAGGAAGATCCTGCACGACAAACTTGATGTAATCTCTCCAGAGCTGGACCCAAGCTCTCGATGACAGGCACGCGGTCCACATAGCCTTCATCGACTTCCAGAAGGCGTTCGACACTGTGCCACACCAGAGGCTCTTACATAAACTTAAAAAAATAGGGGTCGGTGGCAACTTCCTTAAATGGATCGAAAACTTCCTTGTGGGTCGACACCAGGTTGTGTGCATCGGTCGGGGAAAATCAGATCCTGCTGTGGTCGAGAGTGGTGTCCCCCAGGGTTCAGTTCTGGGAACCATTTTGTTCCTTATATACGTGGACGCTGCCGCCAGAGCTTTGGACTGCGAAGTAACAATGTTTGCCGACGACATGAAGATATGGAGTGTAATTCGGGGTCCTGCCGACGAAGACAGACTACAGATGAATCTGAATCGGTTGGAGGAGTGGTCAAACCGTTGGCTCCTGCGGTTCAACGTTGCCAAATGTAGCATACTTCGCCTAGGCAACACAGCCATATCGGCCAGCACAAGAGGCTACTTTCTGGGCGGTGCAGCCCTACAAGAAGTCGAAGCCCAAAAGGACGTCGGTGTTCTGACGACAAGTTCTCTAAAGCCATCCGCCCATTGTTCGAGGGTCGCAAAAAACGCAATGTATGTATTGTACGCCATCAAGCGTGCGTTTATGGACTTTGACGAAGATGCTTTCTCAAAGACATTCGGAACATTCGTCCGGCCGCATTTAGAGTACGGCATACAAGCCTGGAGGCCGTGGGCTGTTGAGGATCAAAACTGCCTCGAAAGGGTCCAGAGGAGAGCCACGAAGCTCCTTTCCTTATGCAACCCGCCTAGTAAATCTGAACCTCTTTCCTTTGAGTTACAGGCAACTTCGCGGGGATCTCTTGCAAGCCTTCCGCATTGTAAAGTGGTTGGATAGCAGCCTAGCCTTCGAAGACTTTTTTGAATTTGCTACCACGACCAACCTACGAGGTCACCCGTTCAAACTGCGCACCCAGCAAGCAAGGCTGGATGTGCGGAAGTTCTCATTCTCTGTTCGAGTGGTCAAACCCTGGAATGCCCTTCCCGCAGATGTTGTGATGTCACCATCTATACAAAATTTTAAAAAGAATTTGGACATATTTATGTTGCGAAATGACGAAGAGCGATGAGAAGCAGAGCTCACCCCCTGTAACTCGTTCTCATTTTGTCCTATCACTATGGGCGTGTTTGAACTATTTCAGCCCAGAACATTTATTTGTATACTACACATTTTTTGCGTTGTAAATAGGGTACTCAAAGGCTTACGCCCTATTACCCTCAATAAACTGAACTGAACTGAACTGACATGTAATCAATAGGGTTTTCAAAGGCTTTGCCTATTAGCCTTACCAAATAAACTGAAACTGACTTGCGGGGATCTACGAAGTTTCCAAACGTTCGTCCGCCAGGGCGGTGTCGGCGTGAACGCATGTGTCGGCATCATTTTAGCCATTTGATTAATTGATAGCCAAGTTTGTGGGCGTCCGTGATTGGCTGTCCCAGAGGCCACATACGCACATCTTCCGATTGTTCGGGGAGGCGTGATCACACGATTTCCAACGCGGCATATTTTCCAGACGCAATCATCCTATACGTGCTTGTAACCTGAAGTATAAAGTATTAACAGAGGCGATCCCAAAATAAAGGGTTTATGGGAATTTACAGGTAATGGGTTACTGTGATGCAAAGTGTAAAAGACGTACTCAATAAGTCCAGCTATTCGGACGCGGTTTAACCTCTTTGATCTTCTTTTGGGTATGCGGCGGACGTGAGGCTTGCTTTCTAATAGTCGGCATTATACGGACTGAAGGTCATATTAGGATCAAGGAAAACGAGTTCCTCATTATTGTTTTTATTGAGACACCTCTAAAGGATTTCAGTTTAGTCGAGGACGTCGAGTGATTTGCTTTACCCGTGACAGTCCCTTTTAGGCTGGTGGTATTGCGGTTGTTAAATGTTAGAAAAGATAGGAAGCTTGCCATAACGCTCTTGACATAAATTCGGCGTCAGCTAATCAAAGGTCATTTTACGGGGTGTTCATGTTCCGACGCTGCTTTGAGAGGACGAATGATTTGTTTATAAAATTTAAGATTACGGAATACCAGACTTTTTAACTCAGAACTAAAAAAGGAGTAGAAACAAAGAAGTTAGTACTGAGATTTCATTCAGGTTGATGCGGGCTAGTTTACTTGTCTCATCAGCCGCTGAGGCCCATATTTTCTCCGCTCGGCGGGTCGTGGTGAGATTAGGGAAGCAAGTAGTAGTATGACTGGTAGTAAATAAGTTTAGCGAAGAGCACGGGTGGCAGAGTTGGAAATCCGCTTTAAACTTCATGCAATCGTCGTTTAGTCTTAGGGCAACAGATATATGGCTGTTGGCGTTTCTATGCGTAGGGAAAGGAAGTAAGTTTACTGTGGCATGTAGATTTTTCCCCTTTCTCAGGATGTAATTGAATGCTATTATTTATGCACATCCTGTCAAACACCTTTCCTTTCTGATGTGGCGTCGCGAAAACACTGATACTTACTGGCTGTGCAGTTTATTTGTTGATTGTCCCCCTTTCGTCTATGTAGACTTTTCAGTTACCTTTTGACTGCAGCTACACTCAGACCATTCTCATACTCGACAATAATTTGATCTGGATCGTTTTTGATTCAGGTCTGTTGTTAAGTTAACAAGGCAATTTCAGGGAGGAAATCGAGGTAATACAGTCGCGGGGACTTCCTAAGTAACGATTCGGTTCCGTAAACTCAAACTGCCAACAGCTAAAATATGCTTGTTTTTTTGTAATAACATTCATTACATTTAACCAGTTGTTTTCTTGAACAATTTCAATTCACGGAGTTTTTTTGCGACTTAATATCTTAAACAATCGGTTAGTACATTTTAGCCCTTACACAGTTCTCTCTTAAAAACTCAAAATAAAAAACATTTAATTTCATTCTTCTTGGGCAAAGCGTATTCCATTCTGTTTGTATTTTTTCTACAAATGGGATCATTTAAAATGCTTGAAACGTTCATAGAAACGGCACAGTAAGATTTACTCCATGCCATATTAGTATGTTCACGAGTTTGCTGGGCTGTCTTGAACTATGCATTATGAGACAGTTCATCTTTTTGATTATGCTCGGATCTCAATATAAACACATGGATTACTAGATTTGGCAACCCTAAACGCCTATTTAATTCCTTGGAGTTCCGCATCCCCTTTAACTTTCTGGGGCAACGTAAATTATTAATGTGGCCCTTTAGCGTGAATTAGTCTTGTGGGCAAATTCGTATTTGCACTTAGCAAATATCAAAATTCGCAAGATGCAGATATTAATTGCTAATAAGTCGTTCTTTAGGTTCGTACATAGTCTAATCTCCAATGGATATCCTAAATGGTCTATGCGACCACCAAAATGTTGGTGAAAAGTTTACTAGTCAAAATTTCTTTTTCTCGAATTACTACTTCGACCACTCACAAATGTGGTGTTTCCGGCAAATTTAGCTCTCAAAATTTTGGACTGGTATTCGAAAGTTCGCCCCTCGATCTTCTCGGTCAGTACGAATGGCGGACGATCAGAGCGCTAAGCCTGCAGATGATGCGTCACTTGAGACCGATAATCGGTCTACTGCGGTCGGAGAAGAAACTGAGGGCGCAGGACTGCAATCCGTACATTTCAGTGTTTCCGAGAGTACTTCCGGTGGAGCAGAGGAAGATGTTGAGGAAAGTAGACTGACTCTTGACCTGCCGACCTCAGGATACTCCCAACAAATCATTGCTAAAGAAAGACCAAGCCTTGCTGTTGAGAGTTATCAACTACAACTGGCAATGAAGCAAGCAGAAGAGGTAAGACAATTGTCCAGCATACTGCAAATGTAGTCGCATGGTTAAACGACCTCTGAGCTTTTTATACTTATATTTAGAAGTTTTGCAATTATTTAGAGGTCTTCAAAGTCACTTTCAAATTCAGGCAAAATCATTTAAAAATAATTATTTTTCAATGATTTTGCCTGAATTTGAACTTGACTTTGATTAATCTTTTAAAAATACGATTATGAATGCTTAGCAGCCAATGAACGTATGCGTTAAGTATGAACTTCTCTAAATCCAAAAATTAAATATGCCAAGCTTATATGTGCTCCCTTCGATATATAAAAACCTCTTTACCAGCATACGAAAACGTTGGAAAAATCAACCCAAGATTTGATTTTTATCCGAATTTGAGAAAACGGAAACATCCCTGCCAATTATTGCCCTGTCACTACCCAGGGCTAGGTCGGGGCTATGCGGTTCTAAACCCCGAGCGAAGTTGATGAGATTTTGGCCTTTATACCGAAGTCGTTGTGCATTATTTCTCGCAAATTTTATTGCTTATAGTTAAATATATGCGGCCGCTAACTATTTGCAAATTTTGCCAGAACAAAACATAAAACACCCAGAAAATTCATTTATTTTATTGATTTTCCAAACCTTTAAAATTTTAGTTTACTTCTTGGCACGTCTCTAGACGTCAGTGGTACCAACTAAAATACCTAGGTCGTTGTATTTAGCGCGCAAAGAAAACGAAGCGAAGACTCCTAAAAGCTTACATTTAAATCCTAGAAAAGACGTAGACTAGTTTTTGAGACTTGAGCCAGAGCCTGGAATGGTTGACCACAATATAATCTCGTTCACTTTATCATGCAAAAAATATAAAAGGTTATGAAAAGTAACCGCAAGACGCACTGCATCATCTACTTGGAAAATCATCCTATAGCGTGCCGCAGACTACGTGCTCGCTTGAGATGGGGGTCAGGGAATTTTTCAGCAATAACTTCCAGAACACTAATACTACTATTACTTCTGATACTAACAATCTTACCATTAACACCATGAGCAACACTACTGCAATTACCACCGATACTAATACTACTGCTACCACTAATTATACGGATACTACTGCAACTACGGCGTTTACTACTACGACTCCTACTGCTGATGCCACTTCTATCACCACTGCTCCAATACAGCCATTACAACTGCTTCTATCATTATCCTTACTGCTAGTGCTGCGACTATTATTACTTCTACCACAGCCACCACTACTGCCACTACTATTGCCACTACCTAGCTACAATTGCTACTATCACTACTAGTATTGCCACCATTACTGCTGATGGCATAATTACCATGGCCACTATTGCTACCACTACTACTGCTATTACTACGACTACTACTGGTACTATTACTACTGTTACCACTAATAGCACTGCTGCTACCACTACCACTACCACTGTTACTACTACTACTACTACTACTACTACTACTACTACTACTACTACTACCACTCCTACTACCACAATCGCCAGATTTCTCGGAAACTTCTAATGGGACCCCAAGCAAATTATTTTTTCTCCTTTGTCTTTAAGAGCAAATGCAAATCTTTCGGGGTGGTTTAACTTTCATGTCGTTTATTAAGGCTATAGACGTCTGCCAGCATCCCTCAACTCGTTCGGCCAATCAGCAGAAATCGCTAAAGACACCAATGGGGATTCATTTTGCCCCGTAAACGCCCATAAGTTTGTTGAAGTCAGTCCTGCCCTTTCATGACTAAAGTGAAAAATTAAGCTACCTCGATTAATAATGAAGCATAGTGTGCACGCAGATTCTGTCCGGTGCAATAAAAGCGCGAAGTCAACTGATCATTACTTACTCATGGTTAATCAACCGGCACTAGCAGCACGAAATACGAGCCCACCATCTCACCTATCACCTCATTAAGCGGAAGAAACGGGCCTGCAGATCGGCATCTGAAGCTGAAAAGGAATGAGCCCCGCCCCTGCGACAAAGAATTAGTCATAGGGCAACGCCTTACTAAGGAACCGGACTGTTAGACTGGCTCGAGTCTTGATGCAACCGTTAAGCAATTCACACAGAAAAGTAGATGAAAACTCTCGACGGCAGAAAAAATTATGACGAGAAGAAGAGCTGTTAATTCACAAATAAAAGGTAGCCAGAAGTTCTCAGTTTCACCGTGAGCCAGCACCCCAGAACTGTTTACTCAGGAAGATTGAACAGTAACATAAAAAGGAAGTTAAAGTTAGTTCTTTGGCTCACCTTGTTATGCCGGTGCCCTCGGGAGGAAAAAATTGCAAATTAGAC